AATCTCATTGATAGAATGAATAAAACATCATTCTCTCTCATAAAGTAATCATTTTTTTTGATAATTTTCTAAATTTGGAGAATTCTCTGTTCTTCTCTCTCATGTTTTCTTCATTTTGGAGAAGGTTTTGAGAAATCTGTAATATATAATATTTATATATCGTAAATAGAACAAATAAACTCACACACTCTTCTCACAATTGGTAAGGTTTGAACTTCTGACCTCCTAAGAGGCTAAAGATTTACATAGCACTAGGCCAAAGACCCTTTGATTGTGATGGAGAAAATTTATATTGCTGTTATTGATGGTAAAAATATCATTTAGTCAATTAAAAAGTGTAATAATTATACATTTTTATGGTAAAATTATAATAATTACATATTTTTATCATAAAGGACTAGAAGGATACTAGCGTAATGAAGCGAGATGCATCGAGATAATATTTCGTTTTGTTTTTTTTTTTGTCTCTATCGATATAATACGATTTTATGTGATCCGGAGAAAGCGATAATGTTTTAATTCATAAAAATTTGAGAAAAAATTATACTGATATTAGTATCAAATTAACTATTTAAAACTTCTCATTTTTTATGTAATTTCTTAATTCAAATTTAATTTAAGTTTAATAACGAAATAATTTATTTTTGGTTTAATAATATAATTTTTATAAGGATAAGAATTAAGTATTATGTTATAAGTATAACTTAATGATTATCCTAATCATATTTTAGATATTTTATATTTAAAATGAGATGTTTATCAAGTAATTGATCATGTTTATCTACAGTTAGTTACACGAATTCAAACATAAAATTTTTATAAGTTGTACTTACGCACAATAATCTCAAATTTTAAATAATACTTAATACATAAAAACAATTTTTTAAAAGTATTTATCAAATATTTTATAATATACTATAGATATAAATGTTTATTTTTTAGATTTTGATTTTTTATTTGTAAATTTTACAAAAAATTATTTTGATAAGTGGTCAACGATCACGTGCACCGGCATGGTTCTGACTGTGTGAAACCGACTTCTTGGTGCCAGCAAAGTCAACCATCATCGACCACCCTGTACTGCATTCCAACTAGGTGTGTGTCATAGGTGTTAAACGTTTAAATAAATTTATATTTAAAATAAATACAGTTCGATTTTCTATAGAATTGATTAAAATAATTAATTTTTTAATCAAATTCAATTTTTAGTCATTTTTATATTAAAATATTATTTGTTTATTTTTTACTTAGTTTTATTAAAAAGTATTATCTGAATCATTAAAAAGTGAATTTTGTGTGATAAAAAGAAGTCTGTTTTTTAGTGCTTTTAAAACCTTCTGAATAATTTTGTATTATGGATCTCGTTTAACTATTCAGTACTCTAATTTCATTGTAAACAATTAGATTAAAATAAGAATTTGACTGAAAAATAACTAAAAATTAAATTTGGTTAAAATTTTAGCTATTTTGATCAATTTCTAATGATTTTCCCATTATTTTTATATCTAAATTTTGATTTTATAAATAATTAATATACTGAAATATAATTATAAAAAATATATTATTAAATAATACATTTTTTATAAGAAACACAACAACCTTATTTTGGTGAAATTGTGATTTTTATAAGAATACATATAAAATGCATGGAAATTAGGGTTGTCTTCATCTAAGACCAACTTGTTTTAATGAGATATGTAACACCACATTTCTACATTTGAAATTTCACGACAATTCATGGTGAAGGTAAAAAAAATCCGAAACTTCACAGCAAAAACATTGTGAAGTTTACCTTCACATTGTTTTGTTGTGAAGTTTCAATTATAAAAAAGTGGTCTCACAAGTCTCATGAAAACATGTTGGTCTCACATAATCACAGGTCATGGTCACCAACCACCTAAGCCAACGTCCACACCGTTCAACATCAACCATTAATCTGGAGAGTTTAACATAACTATTGAAACAAACTTTTCTCAAATCAATAAAATTTATAAAATACATCATCTGTTAGAGATACTCTAAAATAATATATATTATTCTGGGTAAATTTAGTTAATATTCGATTATTCTTATTTCAAATCAATTTTATCTGATAAAAAGGGTTTTCATTCTACATATTATTGGTTTATTTCGATATAACATTGTGTCATTAATATGATTTGAGAACATGACAATTGACATCCAAGTCTTTAGAGCATCTTCAACAGATTCTTTAAAATGAAGGTTTTGTGGATTTTTGTTCTAGCAGATTATTCAAAATGGAGTTTTTGATATAAAGATTTTGACAATTTAACATACATTTTTGCTTTAACAGTTATTGTTATAATGTATGTTAAATTGGAGGAATAAAGTGAAAAATGATATACACTTCCAAATTTAGAGAAACATCTAAACTCATATTTAAATTTAATAAATAATATTTAATTAGAAGAAATAAATAATATTTTATTAAATGTATTAATTTTTTTAATAATATAGTTAATGATAAAACTGTTAAAATAGAGTAGTTGTTGTTAGATGTACTATTTTTAGAGATTTTAATTATACTAAAATAGAGAAAAACGACATTTTAACAATTTTTTTGCTTGAATTCAAATATGAAGCTCTAATAAGTTGTATTTATGTACAATTTACTTGTAGTCTTACATTTTAAGTAATATGTATCATTAAACAGTACTTCGTGCATAAAAAATGATTTTTAAGAGTTTTTGTCAAATGCTTTATAATATAGTATAGATATTGAAATGACAAATTGCATAAAAAAGTAGCGTACATTAACTTGATTCCTATTTTGGTTAACATATTTTCAAAACTTTCATTTTGGTACCTATGATGTAAAGTTTTAAACATTTAAGTACCGGTGTAACAAGTTAAAGCATTAATCGGTTACCATGTTGATGCGGCGAGTGATGTGGTATAATATCCAACTCATTATTATTTGCTGATATGGACATCTTAATCTAATCGGTTAATACTTCAACATGTTTAACCGGGTACTTAAATGTTTAAAATTGTACATCTTATGTACCAAAATAAAAAGTTTTGAAAGTATATTACCCAAAATAAAAATCAAATTTAAATTACGTTATTTTTTCATACAATTTATCTATATTAAAAATGCTAAACTTTTTTATTATTTTTATTTTTAATTTTAAGTAAAAACGGCCAAAAACTATATTGAAACAAAAGTGAGCGTGCGGTTGGCATGGCGGGACGGTGTTGATGGCAGATAACTCCCCTTCCTCTGCCTTCTAACATCCACCGCCCACTCTCTCTCCTCCACTATCCCTCCCTACCTCCATTTTCCCTTAATCACATTATTTCATATTTACACTTCCAATTTCTTACAAAAACCCTCCATGTTTGATGAAATTTATGCCATTTGAATCCTCCAATTTCCGCCATTATCATCACCTTCATCCTCAATTTCAAATACCTTCCCATCCCTCATTGTTTTTTCCACACACGTCAACAAGGGTTCTACACAAATTCCGCCATTATCATCATCTTCATCCTCAATTTCAAATATCTTCACATACAGCAACAAGGGTTCTACACAGATTCCGCCATTACAGGAAACTTGCGTACAGAAGAGATTGGATTCAGATTCTTCCTTTCGCTTGATTATTAGGGTACGTGATCAATTCCTTTGCCTCGTTTTGAATTCCTTTACGTATCGCCTTCTGATTTCTTCATACATCGAATTCAAGTACGAGCCCTCTGTTTTCATAAGATATGAATCGTAACTGCTCTTACATTTCGAAGAATTAGGTGCTAATCCTTGATATTTTCTTAGTTTTCTGATTTCTAGCAGTTGTTTATCGATGAATGTGCTTGCGGTTCCATGTTTTTTTATCAGCGATTGAAGTTTGTTTTCGGATAAAAATTTGGGACGAGTGGTAACTGTTCCTTAATTTCGACAAATTAGGTGTTAAATGCCTTCTGGATTTTTCAGTTTTGTGGTTTATTGCGTTAATCCATTGATGAATGTCATTGAATTTCGATCCTCTTATCAGAAACTGAAGATCGTTTCGGATAATCTGTGTGTAGGTTTTGATTCCAAATGTAAATTGATGGGTGTTCAAATTCTTTTGAAAATCCATTTTATTTTCTGAAATTTCTGTGCATGAATTCTGGGGAATAGATATAGAATTAGAATTATTTGATCAAAATGAGGAAATCGCCATGAAATTAGCTTCATTATCCATGAACATGAAATGCTTTTTTTTTCTGTGATTACTTAGGAAGGTTTCATTTATCAAACACTTATCCGGTAGGTGCTTACGGGTAAAATTTAACGCTATTATTTACTTACTGGATAAGATTTTAGTCCACCAAAATGACATCGTATGCAACAATTTACCCGTAAGAGTTAGTCGCTTTCACCTACCGGGTAAGACTTTTGGTCCTTATCTCGTTCTTACCGGGTAAGATTCTTCGTCATTACCATATTCATCTGATGAGGTAACATGACTTGGTAAGCGCTTACCTCGATAGGCGTTTGGTAAACAGCTCCTAATTTGAGGGGAAAAAAAGGGTTGATTACTAGTAACCCAGATCGGGCCTAATTGGAACCCGTCCCTGGAAACAATATCTAAGGAGGCATTTTAGAGATGATCGAGCTGCTGAGGCTAACGAGAGGTGTTCATGTTCATATCCCCATCAAAACGACTCTTTAATTTTGTTTGAAATCGACTGAACGAATGAGTTCATAATCGTTGTAATATTTTCGGAAGGGAAAAAGATCATATGAAAATCATAAAAATGGTAAAAACCATTTAAACCAGTTTACGTGTATTGTTTCACATATGAAACAATACATGTGAGATGTACAGTGTTGTTTCATATTTGAAACCACACGGTGTCATCTCATGCTTGAAACTTATTGAGTAATTCAGACTAATTTGAGTGGTTTTTATTTGATTTGTCTCCAATTTTTGTCTTTGTAGATTCATGAATCCGAGTTCGAAACACTCTAAGTAGTGAAAATTTTCGAACTTATGGGTAAACCCGACAAAGAACCTTTCGCTCAAATGTCACCAAGAAGCCCGTTGAGCACACAGACTCGCGAGACCGATTCAATCGATTTAACCGTCAACAGTAAAACTTCCTGCAACTCCATTGATCAGCTGTGTCACAATATATATGAAATGGAGAGCTCCGATCGATCCCCATCAAGATTCAGCTTCTTATCCTACGGTCAGGAATCAAGAATCGACTCCGAGCTACGTTATCTTGCCAGAGGGAGTTTCTCAAAAGATAGTCTTAGAAAAGAACCCGTTTCAACGGCCGATGAGAAAGAAACAGAAGAGTTCCATGATCCTCCCGAAGGCGATTTTAAGCAAGAAACCGTTGCAAAGGGTGGTGAGAAAGAAGTATCAGAGTCTGATGTTACTATACCGAAGAAAAAGAAACCGAATCCGTCTTCGCCCGCTAGATCTTCTTCTCCCGCTAGATCTTCTTCACCCGCTAGATCTTCTTCTCCCGGAAAAATCCCGAAGCCAAGTCCAAAGAGCAAATCGATCCACGATAAACCTCTTATCATCAAGAAAACCGGGTTAAAGTCGAATCTGAAGAAAAATGAAAAGACTTCGAATTCAGGAGGAGAGCAAAGGAATGAAGATCCGAAATATCTTGGGCCGTATTTACTGAAACAATCGAGGGAATTGTTGTCGGCAGGGACCGATCCGAATAAGGCGCTCGAATTGGCTGAAAGAGCGATGAAATCATTCGAAAGTTGCCAATCAGAAAAACCCGATTTGGAATATATCATGTGTTTGCATATCGTAGCAGCGTTATATTGCATTTTAGGGGAGTACGATGAAGCGATTCCAGTTGTCGAGCGATCAATCGAGATCACGAACATGAATGAAGGCCAAAAGCATTCATTGGCTAAATTTGCGGGATGCATGCAATTGGGCGATACGTACGCAATGCAAGGCCGTATCGAAAACTCGATTCTCTGTTATACGGCGGGTTTGGAGATCCAAAAACACGTTCTGGGTGAATACGATGCTCGATTCGGGAAAACTTGTCGGTATGTAGCCGAAGCTCACGTTCAAGCAATGCAGTTCGATGAGGCAAAAAAACTGTGTCGATTAGCATTGATAATCCACGGAAAAAACGGAACGAGTGCTTCGTTAGAAGAAGCGGCCGATAGGAGACTTATGGGATTAATTTGTGATTCGCAGGGCGATTACGAAACTGCCATCGAGCATTATGTATTGGCTCGAATGGCGATGTCGGCAAACGGGCACGATTCTGATGTGGCCGCGGTCGATGTGTGTATCGGCGATGCATATCTATCGTTGGCTAGATACGACGAAGCTATTTTTACATATTTGAAAGCATTCAATGTTTTCAAGACGACGAAAGGCGAGAATCACCCGTCGTCGGCTTCAGTTTTCGTCCGTTTGGCGGATCTGTACAACAAGATCGGGAAGTTTCGTGAATCGGAATCGTACTGCAAAAATGCTAAACGGATTTATGTTAAGCCGATTCCAGGGAACCAGAACGATGAAATCGCGGATGGGCTTATTGAAGTTTCGGCGATTTATGAATCGATGAACGAATTAGACCAAGCGCTTGACTTACTTAAGAAAGCGCTCAAGGCTTACGGGAAGGGCCCGGGTCTACTGACCACCGTGGCCGGAGTTGAGGCTCAGATCGGGGTTCTATGTTACATGACGGGTCGGTATTTTGAGTCGTACGACTACTTCAAAATCGCAATCTCGAAGTTCCGGGCTGCCGGAGAGAAAAAAACCGCTCTTTTCGGTATTGTCTTGAACCAAATGGGATTGACGTGCGTTCAGATCGGGGCGATTGATGAAGCTGCAGATCTTTTCGAAGAAGCTAGAGGTATTTTTGAGACGGAATACGGGCCTCAACATCCCGATACACTCGGGGTTTATAGGAATCTTGCTGGTACTTATGATGCGATGGGCAGGTACTCGACCGTTTATCTAATCGTTCGATTTTTGTTATGGCAAACTAATTATTAGCCGATAAACTAGTCATGGTCAGTAAAAACTACTTCCTCCTTGGCTCCATCACAAAATAAATGCGGACAATGAAAAAAAACACATTTTTAGAAACATGTAACTATTACATTTTTTTATTCATTAAATTACAATTTTACCCTTAAAAATAGTAAGAGAGGGATTTCATAATTAAGGGCAGAATTTGAAGAGTAGACACTTTGAAAGTGGATACTTATTTTGGGACAAATTAAAATAGAAATGTGAACGTTTATTTTTGGACATAGTGAGTGCTAACAAGCTAGATAACAATGTAAATCACATGTTAGAAAGTACTCCCTCTGTCCAAAATAAGTGTCTACAATGAAAATGACATGATTTTTGGAACAATTGTTACCCTTTTTAAATAAACTAATGGACACTTTTACCCTTGATAAAAGAGAAAACAAAAATCCCCATTTCATAATTGAGGGTATAATAGGAAATTGAAAACTTACTTTTGAATGTAGACACTTATTTTGGTACAAACCAAAATAGTTATATGAACACTTAATTTGGGATCGTGGGAGCCATAGGAAAACATAAGGGGCATTATTGGAAAATAAAATAACATGGAGCTTATTGAAACACTTGAGTTTTTTCAAGTAGCTCAAATAATAAATTAGTTTATGGTTGCTAATTGTGTGATAAATCTGTTGTGCAGATGGGACGATGCGATTGAAATACTGGAGTATGTTGTCGAGATGAGAGAGGAGAAGCTTGGAACGGCGAATCCGGATGTTGACAATGAAAAGCGGTGGCTAGCGGAGTTGTTGAAGGAATCCGGCAGGGACCGGAGCAAGGGATCCCGGTCCCTGGAATTCCTTCTTGATGGTTAATCAATATTTAGAAATGTATGTATGTACATATGTTTTTTTTAATCGAAAAGTAATGTATAACCTGGAACAAATGATGTATAAAAAATGCCATTAATTATTTATGGGCATTTAACGTAGCAGTATATGATAATTCATCTTTTTAATTGAACACATGAAAAAGGTATACAATTTTAGAAAAATATAATTATTACACTTTTAACAAACTAAATGACAATTTTATCCCTTATAACAGTAGGAGTAATTAATTTTTCTATCTTATAATTAAGGGTAGAATAAGAAAGTAATCATTTTTTTTTAAATGAACACTGATTTTGTGATGAGCTAAAATAAAAATAAAAATACTTATTTTGAAAAAAAAAATTAATAAATAAGGAAGTAGTTTAGGGCCTGCTTGTTAGTTAGTAGTTTAATGAGTTTAATGGAAATCACAACTTATTAGGTCAAATATACATGATTGTTTGGTAGTGGTTTTTATGATACAAAAAGGGGTTTATTCAGTATCCTCCTAAGGGAGAGTTTTATGCGAAAAACTAAGTTTTTTCAAAACTTGTCATTCTTAGGGGCCGTTTACTAAACGCTTACTTGGTAAGGGTTTACCGAATAAATTTTCTTATCGGATGAACATGACAAGGGTCAAGAATCTTACCGGATAAGAGCGATGAGAAGGATAGAGAGTCTTACCCGGTAAGTGAAGATTACGACTCTTACCCAGGTAAGCGCTTACCCGGTAAATTATTGCATTCAATACGTTTTAATGTATTAAAATCTTACTCATTAAATAAATTATAGTGTTAGACTCCTATAATTAAGCACTTACCGGATAAACATTTAAGTAAACATCCTCTTAATTAAAAGACATACTTATTTATCCATAAGAAACCCTATAAACTTTAAACTTTCTTAATTTATAGAGACAAATTATTACACACAAAACATGTTTATCCATGTTGAAAACCAACCAAACAGTACGTAGAAACTTAAAAAGCTTAATCCGAATCCAAACCCGACTACCTAGAAATGGTCATCGGCCCAACTGGAGCCCAAATTTTTTGCAAAGAGGACACGTAAGCATTGAAGACCCTATAAGATTGTGCCACGTCACTAACAGAAAGAGTCGTTCAGTTAAATGAGAAATGCCCGGGCGAGGGTTCAGAAGTTCATGGCTGCCCAACAAACTCCATACTTTCTTTGATCAATCAATCAATCAGTTCAGAGAAAATGTTTTCAGAGTCGGTAGAAGCATTTGTGTGGAGAGAAAGCGAGATTAGTGTGTGAAGATGGGTGGTTTATTGTCGTCAGCTAAAGAACCTCCACCGCCTATGGTGTTGGTTCCGCCGCTCTTCGATTTCCCGCCTCTTGCTGCTCGTACCAGGTCTTCTCTATGTTTTCTCCCTTCAGTCCGTTCAATTACGATCTTCATTCAGGATTTTTGTGGAATTGGGGTGTGTTAATTTGATTCCAGAAGTGTTCGAACTTCCTGTGACTGATTTCATTTGAAATTGGAATCGTTTTTATGTGTTTTGAATGATGCATTTTTATGTTATGTAACTATAATCGTTGTCTAAAGAAAGTGGAAGTTCTTCTTCGGAAGGTGAGGTATTGATCTTCGTAATGAGTTGTTAGAAATCTTAATCCTTAGATTCGATTCTTTTAGAGCAAGTGATTTGGTTCAATTACGATATTTGTTGTCTGTTAATTTGATTTAAAAAACTCGAAGGTCTGAAGAATTATTCATTGCAATCACTGTCATGTTTGCTTAATGGTAGTAGTAACATACAGTCATTTATTTAATGAAGGTGGAACTTAATCTTTGGAAGGTGAGCGTGGATCTTCATAATTAGTTGTTAGAAACCTTTTATATTTTTCCATTTGGTTTTTTGGAGCACTGTTAAATATCGTTGCAATCTTTCACTTATCACAATCTAGCTATAACTTAAGAAAAATAATCAAATAAGGAGTTGCTAGAGTTGTAAGTTATTCATTTTCATATGCTCTACCATGTAGAGTTCTTTTTTATGATAATGTATGCATCTAGAGGATACGATGTTGATCTGCTCGGTATCCTATATGTGATCTAGTCTCACATATGAGGTATATAAGCCAAGGGTTTGTGGTCAGGATGCCATTACAAGCATTCTTCCCTGTAATAATTGATTGGGTTGTTTGTTCTTCTCCGTGGTATATGCTTCAACTCCTTATTGTATCCAAATAAGTCGAACCCTTTTGTTGTTCATCTTCTTTGCTTTTGTTGTTGTAGAGGTTTCCAAGAAGCTTCTACTTTTACTAGAATATCAACTAGATACTTGGTTTTGATTATAATCAATTCATTTTGAAGTGATGCAGGATGTTGGAATCATCATATAATTTGTTATTCGGGAAGCTCGCCTTAAGAAGCCTTTTTGAAGATTATTTTGATGCAGCAAATCATTTTAGTACAATATTTTTGTTGAAGCCAATTGATGATCGTCATGTAGATCTAATAGCAACTGTATCCATCAAAGTTTTTCATTACTTACATGCATATGTGGCTGTTTGCTATTATCCTACTTAGAGCACACATTCTTACTCCTTTTTCTAATTATCTTTGAACTTACAAATGCAATTACCAAGAGATTACATATAACTTTACATTCAAAAATATCCTTTGTGGAAAGGATTGTAGTAAATTAGAAAAATCAGACGATATTGGTTTTCCATAAGCTGATTTTCATTCTATAGGCCTAGCTTATGTACACCATCTGTCTTTATCCATTATTTCTTGATGAAAATTTGGACTTTGCATGAAATGAAGAACTTCCTTTTATATTTTTAATGTAGAGACGTATCGACTTATATGGTCATGTTTCTCTGTTGATGATGCGTATCTTAATATTTTTGCATGTCTTGCATAACCTGAAAAACCAACAGTTGCTTATTTTATATTTTCAGCTCTTGGCACACTTCATTTGTTCCTGTTCACTTTTGTTCATATGAATATGATATTGTTCAATCTATGCAAACATTCTTATCGTATATTTATTTATTTACGTATATTAACTTATGTTCAATTCTGAGTTGAGTCAACTTTTTAATACCAAAAACAAGAATGAAAAGTTCCTTAGCGGCCATACAGGTTTCAGGTCCTCTTGATAACAAGCCTGAGGAGACAATTGTTGGTAATGCACTATTTCGTTGGCAAAGGTATTCAAAGAGATATCCTTAATATTTCTACTGATTTCTTCTTCCAGAGATTGCAGGTTGCCATTCACTTCTTTTGGCATTCTTATCAAAATAAATCTTTTGTGTTCTTCACAGTGATGCTGATGATCCTCACACATTCACAGATCTTTATGTATCCAGTATTGATCCGTAAGTAGCAATTTTCTCTTCCAACAAGAGTAAGTTCTAATTTCCTCGTTGTCTTCCTTTATGCTGTTACATGCTTATATCTCCAGGATTTTACTCATGAGAGCATGTGCATACTACCCAAAATATGGTTTTGGAGCATTTGGCATTTTCCCGGTGCTTCAAAAGAATAGGTTTATTCATCACTTCCGAGCAAAATCACATGTTTTAACTCCTTTTCCGTTTTTATCTATGGCTTTATATTCACTCACAAAGCTCCTCTCTCATGCAGAGTATCTTCAGAAGACTATGGTATAATGGGTTTGAGATATGGCTCATCAAACTTGTCATTTGGAGCCACACTTTTGCCATATTCATGTACGTGATGTGCATTGCATGTTAAAGAACTGATCTGTTTTCAATTACATTTTTGTTCCTTTCAGTTTCACTAGTTCTAGTTTCTAAGATTTTGTTATCCCTTTGCTACGATAATTTGTATAATTGTCATGACTTAAATTCGACAACCAATATAATACAGCAAAAGTATTATGTAATTTTCTTTTCTATTTCTTTTCCCTCTCTATCCAATACTAATGTAACAAAATCGCAACCTGGTTGTTTCAATGTAGTTGATAACTCTGAATTCTACTACCATGGAAAAAAATATTTGTAAGACTACCATGTGGAACATGCATAATGTTTAAGCCTGATATTTTTTTTTTATAATGCTATTTCCTGAATGCAGTGGGAGATGACTTCCCGAAATCTGCGTGGCTGGTGAGCAAGATACGAAGGTTAACTGCTGGGGTGCAATATGATCCTCAATGTAAGATTCTTACCCTTGCATTTTTTTTATAACACCATTTCTTGCCCATTGCCCAAGCCCCAGGGTGCTAAACTCCTTGCTCTTTTGAAGAAATATGCATTTGGTATGGAATGCAGTTTTGGCCTCTATGGGGCTTAATTTCCCCTACATCTATTGGCTTGAGTATCTGGTTAAGCTTGCTATGAGGTGCAATTGCTACTTCTTGAATGCCTAGATATATGTTTCAGATACTTCATACTTGTTTCATCTAGGCCTTTGGCAACCGTCTTTTAGCATACAGCTTATAATATGATGTTACCAGATTTGTTTGTCAGCATCACTCAAATCTTTGATGGATACCTCCACATTTGTTTCAATTCTGGACCTACTTTCACTGTTTCACATTCGATAATCATGCAACAGGTTGCAAGTTTTGGAACACTACGCTGGTGAAAAATGCAGTTTTTTTGGTATCTACAATAGCATCTAAACTTATTGATTAATATTGAAGTGTGTAAGGGTCTGTTTGTTAGCAGCTTAATGAGACTCGCAACATACTCAGTCAATTATACATGACAGTTTGATAGTGGCTTAATGATATAGAAAGTGCCTTATTCAGTAAGCTTCTAGGGGGAGCTTTATGCAGAAAGCCAAGTTTTTCTTTTCCAAACTTGCCCCTCCCAATTAATAAACACGCTCCTTCCATCTATGAAAAAACTCTCCAAAACAAAAAATCTCAATCTATACAGACTGATTAATCCACACAGACAACTTTATCCATACATGACTTAATGGAAACCAATCAAACATAACTCTTACATGATAAGTAACTTGATGGGCTGGTTCCCACTGTAAAATGTTAAAGGTTTTAGTCTCATTGCCATGCTCAGGAAAAATAGCATATTAATAAATAAAACACTGTTACCACTTATGTAGTATGGTCTAATTCATCAAATTTCTGTCCATCCTCCTGAAAGCATGCCTCAAAAAACATTGTTGCCTCCTGTCACTTCTTTTACTGAAAAAACTTATGTTCTTGTGGTTATTGTGCTTGAATAGTTGAAAAGAAGGACGGTGCAAAATATAAAAATTTGAAGAATTGGAATTGTGCCATAGGCTATGGACTTGGATCAGGCAGCCCATTGAGTCCATCATTTAATTTTGGTCTTGAATTCAAGCAGAAATCCCAGGTTTCCCACTGTTTATTGTTTCTTGCATTATCATTATCATTATCCCTTTTTACTATTCTACTTTTTCTTTTTTGTTTCACCTCTTCATCTGCCATTGTTTATTTTTTATGTTTTCTGTAATCATCCCTCTTATAACATCAGGGTCTGGGCATGGATACTCCTTTGCTCATCTGAGTAGTCTCTCCCACTCATGTGCTCATTTATTTTTTGGCCAACAAAACTCAAGTACTTATTTTTCTTTTTAACACCTCAACTGCAGTTCATAGCCTCTTTCTACCAGCATGTGGTGGTCCAACGAAGGGTACACTCTCTTTCTCTTAGTGTGTGTGCACGTGCATGATTCTGTGTCTTCATGAATGGGGCAGGAATTGTTAGACTTGCACATCGGATGGACTTTGACACTTTCTCTTCAATATATGTTGGAACATTCCTTCTCTCCTCAAGGGGGGAGTAATCTAATGGTCCCACATATTCTCATATAGTATCGAGCAAATGTCTGCCACTCTGGGACAATTTATGCCCTCTCGACACTCGGGGGGACTATTTTTGCCCGTCTAGCCTTGTAGGGGGCATGCTAGATTCCAACATCGGCTAGACTTTGACACTTTCTCTTCAATATCTGTTGGAACCCCCCTCTCTCCTTAAGGGTTCTTTTGGAGAGTAATCTAATGGGGTCCCACATATTCTCACAGGAATGACATGATAAAATTGGTATATAAGCATGAGAAGACAATAGATTGTTCATTCAGAGAACAATTGATTTTTATTTTCCATTTTGGAATCAAGGAACTAATATATATTGGTAGCATTCAGCTGAAGTTTAGACCTTTTGTTGCTAGTCAAGTTAACTTCCTTATAAGCACAATCATAATCAACAAGTCTGAAGTCTTAGCTAATCAAACTCCTGCTGGTTTCTTTTATCCACAACTCCAGTCAAGAAGTTGATATTGCTATCCCAAAATTACTTAATTTTATCTTTATCCAAAAAAAGTTGACACTGCTGTAAGCTGTTTATTGCAATTATGTAGGTGAAGAATCCATTTGAAGAGAATGAAGTAATTGGCATTACTAATTACATAGACTTCGGATTCGAGTTGCTAACAAGGTAATTTAGAGTGTGCAGTGTGAAATCTATCCACAAATGGTTTTAAAAAGGAATCTGAATCCTTAGATCTGTTAACAGAATGGATGAAGAAAAGGCATCAAACAACATCCAAGATTCCACCTTTAATGTTGCTGCATCTTGGCAAGCAAATAAAAATGTCATGCTGAAGGTTAGCTGTCTGGGTTCTGATGTTATGTTCTATATGTGGGTCTATGCCAATTTTCACAAATTCTTTTCTGGACTCTTGTAGGGAAAATTGGGGCCCCTTAGTTCATCGGTGTCTTTGGCTTTTAAGTCGTGGTGGAAACCTTCATTCAGTTTCAGTGTTTCAGGTAACTTGCTAGCCACAAACTTCAATGTAGGAACCACAAGGGTTGTGGCGTAGTGGTTGAGGCCCTAGGGGATGTAGTGGAATATCCCATATGCCCAGGGTTCTATTCCAAGCGTACACAACAATTGTGGCTATTGTGTTTATCACGGCTGATTTCTTGCAGTCACAATTTGTCGGAATTAGTCCAGCATAGCCTAGGACACCCTCCCAAAAAGAAACTTCAATGCAGGATGTATCTACACTAAGGCCATGTTTGGCAACCATAAGCTAGCTTATTTTTTGAGTTCATTGAAAAAGCCACGTTTAGTTAGTCGTAAGCCAGTCTTTTGAAAAGCTAACGAGGGGTTTTTCCCACTTTTTTTCCATTTATGCCTCTTGTATTTTTCTATTTAATTTTTTTAACATGTCTTTTTCAATCATTACATTCTCATCTAGCTTATCAGCTAATTTTTACCAAACATTGCAAGTCTAAGCTAACAACTAGCTTTTCAACCAACAACGAGCTTTTCAGCTAACACCTAGCTTATTCCAAACATAGCCTAAAAGTATACGACATTGCTCTTTATCCTTCAAGTATTTTGTTTTGCTACACCAACAATTAATCATCTTCTCAGCTTCATGGTTATCGTTTCAAATGTTTGTAGACTCTTCATGCCATTAGTAGATGAGTCTACCATACTTGATTCATGTTACATATTAGCTTTCTAGAGTTATTATGCATCTCTATTTGCTTGAAGTATTATAAGTTGCATGCTACTAAAATAATTGGCTACAATATAATGTGGATGTATTTTTCCGTGTTTGTTTCATCTATTTCCCTCGCATACGTCCCTCTGATGCATTTTCCTGTTAACTGTACTCCTTGCTTCCTTACACACACTCTCTCACCTGTATCTTGGATTTTATTTTGCAAGTTGGGGTCTTCAGAAAAACTGTCTCTCATCCTACCCCCGAACCTACCTCATGCATGGGATTTACTGGATAGTATAGGACTGGATGAGCGAGAATGAGATAGGCGGGTGAAAGAACTGTAGAAGGTTATAGGGTTGTAGCTTGACATGGGTAGTTTAGTAATTTACCAATCTTGCTCTGTCTCCATGATTTTTGTCCACTCAATCCTTGTCCTGTCAAAGTTTATTGTCACACAACAAGTTTTTCTGTCATGTCCTGTGTTCCAAACACATTAGAAAAATAGAACTTATGTGATGAATGATATATGAAACATGCGGTTTAAATGTTTAATATCACAAACACATGATGATGATTTGATTTTGATACTGAGCAGCTGTAAGAGACCGTTGCATAGGAAAGACATCCTTCGGGTTTGGTCTTCGTGTCGACAATGTCAGAGAAGCAAGGTTTGTGCTAATCTCATGAAATCTCCTAACTTTTTTGGAGTATATAATATTTATATATGGTAAATACTCACACACACTTCACCAAATTGGTGAGGTTTGAACCCTTAATCTACTTGGAGGTTCGGCTCTACCCGATAACACGGGTATGCACGGCCAATGACTAGGGACGGGAACAAAGCAGGTGCCCCCCGTTTAAGTCCTCGCCTCGACATTTCTGCAGGGGAGGATCCCGGGCGGGTTTGGGGATACCCGTTTAGTAAAAAACAATATATTTTGAAATTAAAATTATAATGAATGGTGACTACATTTATTACCAATATTCAAAATAAAATATATTTGTCATTTAATAATAAACATATACATATTTATTTATTTATACACGCACTATATACATGTATTAAAGATAAAAAATAAAAAATTAATGGGGGTCCGATCAGAGGCGGGTAATGCCATCCCCGCTTCAGGTATCAAAACAAATGCCCGCCCCCGGCCTGTTACCCGCCAAAGCAAGGACCCCCCCCCCCTCCGGGTTTAGGGCGGGTACCCACCAATGACCAAAAAGTTCTCATCGTTTGGTAATATTTGAAGCAAGCAACTCAAATAAGATTGAAAAATACAGTTATGAGAGGGCAGATCCGAATTTTGTGATGCTGACACCGAACAAAGAACATCTAGCGGAGGGAATCCATTGGAAAGTTGGCAAGAGGCCGATGCTGCAATCGGACGTAAACTCCGGCAACTTTGATGGTGTCCCCAGGGAACTCAGACCCTTGGGTAGAATCTTATGATCATCTCTTCTCTTTATTTTCTTCTGAAAAAACAAACTGTAATGCAGTTGGGACTGTTAGCCTTCATTTCTTTGTTTTCTTTTCCTTATTGCCTAAATAAATTCAAAGGTTTAAACAACTAATTTACCATTGTGATCTATGTATTTAACGTTAAGTAGGGAGCCCGACAAACCCGAAATAATTTACCCAACTGGAGCGTGTAACTCAGTTGACAAAAGGATTGGATAACTTTGTCCAAAAACAAGACATGTTCGGGTTTGATTTCAGGCCCTTCATTAGCCTCAGAGTGAGCCAAAAAATGCCCTTGCATCATTGGAGGCAGGTTTGTGTGGGGGCCGGTTGGAGTTGCCGGTAATCAAGTTTTGTCGAGATTAACCACTGGATGCCTAAAATCATGGAACCGTAAGTATTAGGTTGACATTGGACAAAATTCATTTGAATCCAACCCAAACCGAAGGAGGTGAATGTGCTCTTGAAGCAACGGGTCAAATAGAATGACACATGTTATCAGGATAGGTGGAGATGATTTGCCATTTTTACGCTAAGACATGTTCCAAGAACGCATCTCATATGTCGCAACCAAATTAGTTGAGAACTTGAGATTTTTAACAGATTCAAATTTTTCAAACAACAGTAGTTGGGTTATTCAAAGGATTTCAAACAGACTAACCCAACCTCATGTGTAGCCTTACTAAACGAGTAATTTGATGTAAACCAACTATCGTTCAAAAGATTTCAAAATTTTGATGTGTTTGGTTCGTAGATTTGAAATGAAACTGAAATCCATTTATTATAAATAATTTATAAAAACAAAATATAAATAATTAAATTATATTTTTATTAATTAATCTATACTATATTATAAAGTATTTCACAAAAAACTCTTAAAAACCATCTTTTTATACATGAAGCACCGCTTATTGATGCATAAAACTTAAAATTCAAGATTACAAGTAAATTTTGTTTAAATACAACTTATTAAGTTTCATATTTGAATTCATGTAACTAACTGTAAATAAATATAATCAACTACAAAATAAAGTTTTCATTTTAAATCTAGAAAATCTAAAATATAATTAAGATAATCATTAAATACTAACAAAGTGTTTAATTATTATCTTTATAATAAATTATTATTAAATCAAAAATAAATTACTTTGTTATTAAATCTAAATTAAATTGTAGTAAATTTTTTTATAAAAGAAGTTACACCAAAAAAACGAGAATTATTAAATAGTTAATTTGATACTAATGTCGAATTTTTTAAAATTTTTATGTTATCTTTAAATTTATATTTCACTAAAAAATAAAAACATTATTGCTTTCTCAAAATCACGTGAAATCATTTTATATCAATAAAAATAAAAAATAAAAACTAAACATTAAAATAAAAATGAAAGTACGTACCTTCTAATTATTACAAAACATATATTTTTAATATATTTTAAAATATTATTATATACAAATCTTTAACCAAAAATAATCTCACAAAAACCCAATAACGATCAAAACAAAGAAGCTCCCCTCTCTTGGTAATCTATACTATATTATAATGCATTTGACTAAAACTCTTAAAAACTCTTAAACTCTTAAAACTCTTAAACCCGTTCATCCCTATCCGATTTCATCCCATAACTGAGTTCGTGTAACTAACTGCAGATAAACACAATCAAATACAGGATAAACATCT